ACTTTTATGTTGTAAAGTGTTGATAAAATATATGGGCGAGCGCGACAGGAAGCGAGTGTTATTAATTGAGTTAAATTCTTGAATTAAATATACTAAACGTGTGTTAAAATATAATACTTATAATAAAATAATAATAAAGTAAGAAAACTTGGTTAACTTATATATATTTTTCGATTATAATCTTAAGCTCATTTATTAATTTCAGGTATTTATCATTTATCTTAAAAAATTATGACTATTTGTATTTATTTTACTCAATTTTATTCAATTTTTATGTATATATATATTATTTTAATTTTAATTTTATTTATTTGATTTTAATTATTGATTTAATTTATTTATTTATTAATTAATGAAATTATTTTATTATTTTTAAATTATTTATTATTATTATTTTTTTTTTTAACAAAAATCTATACAATATTTTTTAATTAATTGCAAATTTTATTTTATTTTATTCAATTTCTCTTTTTATGTAAATATTTAGATGTTAAAATTTTTAAATTTTTAATTATAATGAATTTAATTATTTATTATTATTATTATTATTATTTTTTTATTATTATTATTATTATTTTTTTTTTTTTTTTGTAAAACAAAAATCTATAAAATATTTTTAAATTGATTGCAAATAGTAAAATTTCTGAGAATATAACTTTTTATAGCATACCTAACAGTGCTTTATATGTATGGATTTCAGAATATGTCCCATCAAATTATTATTATCATTTTTATTTAAAACTCTACATTATACATTTTAACAAAACTCGAATATTATTAAAATACCCAAAAATAAATTGTAATATGTACAATAAAATGAATAGTTCATACTAAAGTCAGGTAAAAATTTAGGATTATAAATTGACCTATATCGCGTTACACCATAAATTGACTTGGCTTAATTGCAGCTTATTATTATGCAGTCGCCTTAGGTGAGCCAGGCTCAAAGTGAGTCTCGCATTTACATAAGCATTGCTCTGGGCCATCGAAAGATGGCTGGCTTTTGCTTCACAATGCGCTGCAGCAAGTTCTCTCATGCGACAAGCCGACACAATTTCGCACAATTTGCTGGCATTATTTATTAGATGGCCCCGCTGAAAGCCACCAGGCGGCATTAACGGCGTGTAAATGGCCCCAAAGACCACTCGGCTTGGCTGGGGACATGGGAGTGAAAAGCTGCGGCCAGTTGACTCGACACAACTCGACTCGAGTGCAACATGGTCAGCCTCAGCTGGCGGCCTGCGGCGCATTTGATTTATGCCACACAAGTGTCAAAAAATGTCCTGTTGCACACACGCGTTGCGTTGCATAGATTTTAGCCAAAGATACGAGTCTGCATTGACTATCTCTCTCTCTCTGCCGCCCCTACCCCCTCCACCACACTATTCACGCCTGCCTCCCACCTTTGTCTGTCGCATTGCATTGCATATTCGGCCATTAAAAGGCTGAATTGTTGACAACGCATTTTCAGTCGGATTTCAATTTGCTGCGATTTTCAGTGATTGTGTCAGCAGCTATTGCGATTGGCCAGCAAATCGCATAAATTGCGTCCAGCTAACAAATTTGCAGCATTATTTAATGCCAGATGTAGATTTGTCACAGATCTATAGACAAATGTATGCGTATACGCATGTATATATACCCATAGTAGTCGCTATATGGTTGTATTATGACTATGCAAATGCATTTGAATTGCCGACAATCGGCATGCAGCTACATGAATTCAATAATCCTAACAAGGTCAAGCCAATCAATTGAGGACTAGAGTCAAAGATTATCCAAAAAAAGCAACAAAAATTTGTTTGACTTGCAGCTAAACAATAATCGCTACAATGAAGAAGAAGGAGAGAGGAGATGAGGAGGTCGATTAGAAGAGTTATTTAGATCATTTGCAGAGGACGTTAAGAGAAGCAGAAGAGAAGAAGAAGAACTTGGATATTTTGTAAAGGTATAGAACTTCTTCAAATTTACATGATTTATTCATATGTTAAATGATTATTTTATATATCAAACTTAACTTTATTCAAATTTAGCTTAACTAAAACTTACTTTCATTAAGCTAAGTCGAAGAAATCAATGTTTTTAAGTAACTTTCCATGACAGGTATATAAATAAACTATAACATAGTTATAAATTTAGTTCATTTCTTTATATATTTTAAGCCTGCAACAGTTAAAAGAGCTAATTAAAGACAAGAGTGTCAAATTTCCAAACGCAACGGTAATCGGAAATAAGATCGAGCCTTGTACTCCGTCGGGCTTTACAACAGAGTTACTTCAATGTGGAGCAGAGGTGGAACATGATACAGTGACTCGGCTCAAGGCGTTGACCATTGCCCCACAAAGATCATATGAGCGATATTTTTGGTAACAAATGAACGCATGCTGTGCTTGGGGAAAGACAACTTTACAACTTTACGCTGAGTCCGAAAACTCTGAAATACTTGGGGTTTCCAGCATAATTATTACGCTATTTGCACTAGCCATATAGAACTATTGTAAGTCTCTCGAAACAACTTTCAAGGTCTGCAAAACTCAAAGTATCCAATTCAATGATTAGCCAACTAAACAAAGAAGCTCTGTGGTTTCAGGCCATTGCCTATTAGTGTCTATATATATTAATTTAATTGATTTAATAAAAACTTAGCAAATTGAAAAAATATAAAATGTAGATCATCTCTAATATACAGTATTCCAAGGGCATATATTTACCGTCGAACCTCTCTTCTATCCAAGAATAAAATAGTTGTACAATTAATTTTGTATTTTTGTTTTTTATTATTTTATCATCCACACTATTTATACTTTCGTCTAGCCAAAATTAGCCAAGCAACTCAAATCGTAGTTCTCTTCATGAATATATTTTTCCATTCGAACTAAATTAGAATAAGCTAATAATACATATACTAAGTATATGCTTTGCACAGATACAAATATATACACATACATACTTATGTATATGTACACAAATAATGCAATATAAATATTACAATTCGAGATGTGAATAAAATTTCAAAATGCTAATAAAGCGCTCATAAATCACATGTTCACATATATAATATATACATTTTTCTTTAAATGCTCTAAATAAAAATCGAATTCTTCAAGATCTAAACAAATTGCCGCTGTCTAATACCCTAATTATAATAGCTTTATAATAGCGCCCGGCCAGCCCATCATTGACAGCCAATTGGGCGCGCGTGTCGCCGCCAAAGCGAGCTGCTCTGCTCGTCTGCCCCAACGGCGGGCAACGCTGCCAGGAAACAACTCAAATGTACATACATACATACATACAAATATTAAAAAAAAGAAAAACAAAGCAAAAATAAATAAATATTTATGTTTTTATGTTTTCATAGCAAACAAATTGGCCGAAAACAAAAAGGAAAACAACACTGAACAGATCCCAGTAAAAGCTTCCACAGAAGCCAAGTGCGAAAATATCACAACTCAAGTGATTTGCATAGAGATAGGTATATAGGAATATATCTAGAGATCCATACAGATCTTTTAAGATCACCCACACAATTCCACATGTTTTTAGTGGGCTTCGTGTGGGCCACACGACTGGCTAATGAACTATAGTAAAAGATCTGAAAATATGTATAAATGAAAACTGTAAAATACAAATTGTAGGGTATACAATGTACATAGCAAACCGAAAGTATTTGCCAGTGCTACCTGCGCCTTATGAGTTTTAGCTTGAAATACATTTTTTCTTCGTTTCGTCTTCCGATATAAAATTTTATAAAAAGAAAATTTAATAAAAAATCGCGAGGAAAATTAAAAAATTTGCCACATGACGCAATTAAATTGTGTGTGCTAGCTGCCCAGTTGGCACTGGCGCTGTAGTACTCTCGCTATATAGTCTACGACACTGGCCAAGGCCATTTCAGATGATTTGTGGGCACTGTGGGGACTGTGAACCCGTTGAAACTGTCAGCAGAATCTTTAATAAACGCATTTTGGGACAGTTGCGAAAGGCGCTGTTGCTATTGATTAAGATCGCCGTCGATGACGCGAATGATGATCATTATCGGCATGTGGCTATATATAGCAGCGAAACTCATACATATACATATATATGTATATATAAAAAATATATAAATATATATATATATGCTCATATTTATGTATATATAAACATTCATAATAATAATCTAATCTATAGCTAACTCTGAGGTCTGTCTGGTAGAGCTGCTGATCTTTCACTTGCCGTAATCAGTTGTCGTGTTCCAAATTTCAATATCATTTTCTACAATTTGTTTACCCGGTTGAATGAATGGAAAAAATCCAAATGGTATTTTCCAAATAGACTTTGGGGATAAACTTTTAGCTATTAATAACACTAATATAATGTGATACTATTGTAGAACGATAAATCATAGATAAGTAAAATCAGAGAAATTATTTCACCTTTTCCTTCTACTTGGCTATTGGCTTAAAGATTTCTGCAGAGTTACATGATAAATAGATAAAATAATTATATTATATAAATATTTTTAAAATTTTGTCATAACTGGTTACTTAAACTATCTCTGGCATATTAGTCCACTTATTGTTCTGTATCTTTATCATTATAATTTATAATGTATCTATCAGTTCTTTAAAGATTTCGTCTAAAGAATTTTCATATAATTAAATTTGGTTTAATTTCGAGCGCATATTATTTTATTTAATTATGCCAAACTCAGCTAACCAATTAAATTGTTTTTATTCTATCAGGAAGGCATATTCATAAAATATCGTTTATATGGGAAATAATTTAATTTTAGTTAAATATATATAAATATATTACAATGTGGTAATCCCTATTACTCTATAGAATATAAAATCAATGAAAATAATGTGTAAATATAATACAATTAAAACTATTGGCACTTACCGCTCATCCTTCTCGTATTTGGGAAAGCTAATGTGATCGAGCAGCACGGAGGATTCGCTCTGTGGCTCCGCGGAGATGCCCTGGGCGCGTTGGCGCTGAAACGTCTGTCCCGACTTGCGTGTGGCGCCCGTGGCCGTGCTTGGTCCACCGCCGGAGCCGGGGCCGTTGCCAGCGCCGGGCGAGGCGGAGCCAACGCCTGCGCAGCCGGCGGCGCTGCTGCGACTGAAGGGAAAGACGCTCTGGAACTTGTCCAGATGGGAGCGCAGCTCGGCGATTTCGTTGTCCTTGATTTGGAGCGCGCGCTGCATTTCCTGAATCTTCATCTCCTTGGCCTGGATGATTTGCAGGAAGCGCTCCTCCTGCGGCGTGGCCGCCACATACGTGTTGCTCATCATGAGCGTCGCATCGACCATGCCCACCGGCGAGGGCGTGGCCGAGCTGCTGCCCGGCGTGCAGCCGGAAATACGCAGGCCCTGCATTTGCTGAGCCAGCGCCAAGGAGTTGGGCGGCTGCGGATGCTGCTGTTGCTGCAACTGTTGCTGTTGCTGCTGCTGTAGTTGCTGCTGTTGCAATTGCTGCTGCAATTGTTGCTGTGGCTGTGCGGTGGGTGAATTACAGGTGCCGGGTATGGCCACCGGCTGGCTGCTCGGCTGATAGATCCCGGTCACGGGGCTGGCCGAGGCCGTGTAAACGCCCTGCGTCTGCGCCTGCAACTGTTGCAGTTGCTGATAGCGCTGCTGCAGCTGCAGCTCCTGCTGGTGCAGCAGACTGCGCGGATCTGTGTGCAGCTGTTGGGGCGTGCCCGAGGGCGGCGTGCCGTAGATCAGCGTATGCGTCAGCACGTCCGAGTGGCAGGGCGGCGCAGGGGCGGGTATCAGGCGTAGACCCGCCGCTGTATGCTCCAGGCCGAGGTAGCCAATGCTGTTGGCTGCGGGCAGCGTAACGATGCCACCGCTGTTGTTGGCAAAGCTGTTGCTGCTGTTGTTGCCGTTGCCGATGTTGTTGTTGTTGTTGTTGTTGACGATGTTCACCAGACCCAGGTCGGGCTGAAACTGATAGTTCGCGTTCGGCTCCTGCTGCATACTGGCCGCTTTTCTCAGACTCGTATTCGAATTAGCTCTCGGCAATAGAATCGCAATCGCGCTCGCAATCGCTCTCGTGCGCTGCTGATCTTCGGCGCTGCTGTGGCGCCGATAGCGACGCTCTGCGAGTGGTGCTGCTGGCTGTGCTGTTGGCGGTGCTGCTGGTGGTGGTGGTGGTGCTGCTGCTGTTTGGGGGGTGGAGCTGCTTGCTGGCGGTGGCTGCTCTCGACTGTTCTCTGTGTTGATGTCCGGTGGCTTGGCCTCGGTGTCGTCTCTTCTGATTATCGCTGGCTGCAGCTTCTGGTAGTCGGCATAGAGAGTGACGGCTGGCTGTGCGGTGGTTGCGGTGCTTGCATTTGTATTTGTATTTGTATTGGTGTGTGTATTGTTGATGTGGCTGCTACTGCTGCTGCTGCACGGCTCATTTGTGCCGCTCTGCTGCTGATGGCTGTTGCTGTTGCTATTGCTATTGCTGGCTGGCCGCTTGGTGGCGAAGCACAGCCGATCAAAGCAAAAACGCATCCAGGCGGCTTTCTGGAAGAACCGCCGCCACGTGGAAGTCGCTCACTAGATTAAAAGCAGACCTGCAACAGTCAAAAGAGAAAGAGAGAGAGAGAGAGAGAGAGAGTTGATCAGTGAGTGACAAATTGTGAGCACGAGAATCTTATCGCCCGCTAATCAGCAGTCATTGAAACTGATTTACAGCATTTGAGATTAGACACGCAGCATTGGCAACTAAATTTGTTAATTGACTTGTTGTTGACATAGACCACAGCCCATTGCTGTCTCTCATTCATTCCCATTCCCAACTGAAGCTCAACCCCGCCCAAAATTCAAGACAATCGCTACGCTTCAGACATGCTAAACGTCGACCCACACAAATTAGCAGTCGTCAATGCCCCTAACAAAATTATCTCCACTCCAATACTCGTTTGCATAGTGAGTGGGGTATATTGGCTTTTGAAAATGTATAGCAAGTTGAAGTTAAAGTCCCCAAATCAAACTATAAATACATATAAATAATATAGATATATTTAGTTCATATAAAAAGTAAGATCGTTGCAGTCGGGAACTACCAACTGCAGAATACTCGTTCACATATTCATTTTACTTTCCTGAATGAGTATAAAAATCATATTAAAACCCTACTAAAAGCTCTTTTTGAGCGCGTATCACAACATCAAATATACCCGTCTCAAACATGCTTACTTGTTTTGATTTTTACTAAATAACAGCTGTAAGCCTATTCATCAGTTTGTGTGTTTCAGTGTGTGTGCTTGACTAGCAGATACCATATAATTATTTTAAATGGTATACCATTTTGGCGAGCTATTATAAAAAAAAACTTCAACATATTTATTAAATGGTAAAAAATTAATCAAAACAAGGAATAATTTTTGAGGCCATAATTAAACAATAATAATTTACTAACAACATGGTTTGCCAAACCAAATAATTTACAAACTGGAAGCTTAGGTTTTATTATACAGTCACTTATAGCTTTAATGGATACTTAAGTATCTTTATTCATTTTCAAAATTCAGGTTAACTCTTTTTGATAACAGCTTATCATAAACGATCATACAATATCAAAGAAAATGTTGAATGAATGTAGAAGGTTTGGGAATTTACTATATAAAATGATTCGAACGGTGTATAATATAATATATTGATTTCCAATTTTTTTTCCTTTTTTTAATGTTATTTAATATATATATAATATTTTTTTTTTTTATAAAATATTTTTAATAATTTTTAGAAACAACCTCTGCTTTCAGCTTCACTTGACAATCCCTATTTTGCTTAAAAAAAAAGAAAATGAATAAAAAAATTACTAAACATAAACAATGCATCTCATTTAGCTAGTCTGGCCTAGGGTATTCACATAGATATAAAAAACATTACTTAACTCGACGGCATTTCAAATGTCTCTAAAGACTATGTAGCCGCTCGCCTATCGCCTATCGCCTATCGTTGCTAAACGACAGCCACGCCTTAAGTCTTTCACGATATCAGCACCTATATAATTTTGTTTATTTTTGATTTTTTACATTTGATTGTATTTTTTTTTTTTTTTTATATTTTTTATCTAGATTCTTGTTATTAGACGTAAATATGTATAATGCGTCCAAATGCCAAGAACAAGTTGCCGAAACTGGCACAGACAACTATTGACATATTTCGGTGTCTGCGCGCTTAGACAATAATTCAATTCAGTTGAAAGTCCAAACGAAATGAAAAGCTAAAAATACGCCAAATTCAAACACGACAGAGGTGAGCCATAAACGATTAGCAATCAGGTTTTACGAGAAGCATCCCCGAATGGGCCGGCAGCCGCAACGATCAACGATCAGGTTCAGTCACTTCGATCAGGTTGCCAACAAGAACAAGAAGATGATGATGATGATGAAGAAGAAGTAGAAGAAACAACAACAACTGGCATGCAAAATTATTATGATCCAAAAGTATCAAAGTGAAGAAGCAGCTTGAAGATCACTTCGAGAAACAAGCTACGAAAACACTGAAGAAAATTTTCATAGAAATTGCTAGAATTCAGTTTTCCCATAAGAAACATTCCAGTTTTTTGAATCGAGTTAAATTGAGTTAACAGATCGTTGAATTTTACGCAAGTTTCATAAAACTCCAATCAACACTTAACCCTCTTTTCTCTGAGTGTATTTCCGCTATACTATGAAGCGTAGGTGTTAAGGCATTTAATGGTGCTACTTGACAAGTTGAAGATCGTCATGAACCTTGAAGAGCAGCTAGCATAAATAACAAACTAGCTGATCGCATAAATTCTATTCTTAACCTAGACTTGTCAACCACTTGAAGATGAGCTTGAACTAAATATATATACGAAAACAAGAGATTTTTAATGAACAGTAGGAAAACATTGAAAGACAAAGTATAAACAGTTCTTCAAAGATTGATTGAAAACAATAATACTTAGAGGTTAAGAGTTAAGACTAAAAAAATCTCTATATAATTTACAAGTACTTCAACTGAAAGCTATAATTAATCGATTCCGAAGTAGTTACGTGATCTTTATCTCTTTATCTGCAATTATAAACCAAGTTAATAATATAGTTTCGTGCCCTTTATAACAACTCAGGTCGATTAATCTGAATTATTTGTTACCCAACGTTTAGACTCCTATGAGACTTTTTTACTAATTTAAGGAAAAGGGGACTTTTTGTTCATGTCAAATATTAAGCATCTATATTCTAATTATCACGTTGAATGTTTCTTGTACGTTTCCACAGATGAACAATCTGATTTATTATCTTGTTGGAAACTGTTCTTCATGCATTTCACAATTAGGTTAACTGGATCATTAAACGATCAACGATCATTCTAAGCTAATTGACATATTTAGCAGTATATTCGTTTTCTGTTATCAACTATATGCAAAACATTGATCGATCCGCCGAGCTGATCTATGCAAAATTAACGTATTAAATGCTAATTAGCATTTTTATGGTCGCACAACGAATTAATGGCCGATTTGTATGCCAGGCAAACATTGCGAAAACAGAGTGATAAAAAAAGAACAATAGCAAATTCAGTGGCATTGGGGTAGCCCCATAGCGAAAACTACGGGTAATTACAACGCGTAATTGGGCGCAAAAAAAGAGACAGAAATACAAATAAAACAAATAAGAAAACTCTAGTCGAGAAAGTTCGACTACGAAATCCCCTGAGCCCTACAATGAACTGATATATCAATAATTCTTCGCGTCTTTCTGCTCACATAAGGGGCACACACACAGAAACACGAATGAATTATACTAAAAACCGAAATTCTATAAAGATTTATTTAAGGCTGCCTGACAAAAGCTGAATGCTATGAGATTCTATGGAAGGTGCATTAATTAACTTGTGGAAATATTGATCATAATTTGCTCGTTCAAAAAAAAGCATAGCCCCATGAATGCCTTTTGAAACTGTGGGCCAACTTTTCTAGATTATGACAAAAACAAAACTTGAAACTTGGGTTAGGGCACCTGCATGACAAAAGCTGAATGCTACAAGACTCGATGTAAGGTACATTAATGCTGAAGACTGAACAATATGAATTCATTGCTCATGAAATAGAAAACATATTCATGATTCACAGAAATATAAATGCTCTTAGTTAAGATCTTCTAGCGAATTTATAGCAGAAGAAATGCTCTGAGACTGCATGACAGAAGCTGAATGATATGATACTCGATGGATGGTACATCTATTAAATTCGTGGGAATATTTATCAGAATTTGCTCCCTAAATAAAAGACATAATCCTATGTATGATTAAGAAACCTTGCTCAACTTTTCTATAACTTGAAACTTGGGTTAGGGCAGCTGCATGACAAAAGCTGAATGCTACGAGACTCAAGGTACATTAATGCCGAAAACTGAATAATATAAATTCATTGTTCATGAAATTGAAAACATATTCATGATTCACAGAAATATAAATGCTCTTAACTTGGGCCTTCTAGCGACTTTATGGCAAAGGCAAAATGCGATGAGACTGCATGACAGAAGCTGAATGATATGACACCCAATGGATGGTATATTTTTAAAACTTTCAGACAGACAGACGGACAGGACTAAATCGACACAGCTCGTCTCCCTGATCAAGAATATATATACTTTATGGGGTCTGACACGCCTCCTTCTGCCTGTCCCATACATTTCAATAAAACCATTACACTCCGATTTCCCATTTTCAATGGGTTTTGTTAGATGTGAAGCTGAAAAACTGTTGCAACTGTTGCTATAGAAATGAAATGAATCCACAAATGAAAATCAATTGATGCAGCAGCATCGAAATAGACGTTTTCTTTTATTTATAGAACATCAATTGACAGGCCACTCAAAATATTGGAAACATCCGTCCATCTCTGTCTAGCTCTCGGCCCATAGCTTTTCAATAAATATGCCCAATGTGCGACTGTGGCTGCGGCTGGGGCTTTTGGGCCACTTAAGCGCAATTACGCCTGCAATTTGTTTTCATCTCGGGCACATAAATAATAAACACGAACCGGCTGCGTCGTATACGTAATATTTTAAATGATTTTATACTCTTTATTGTCATTTAAATGATGCTACTGCTCCACACCTTCCCCTCTCTCCTCTACGGCGAGTGTGGTAACTCGGTTCGGCAATGGAAACAGGTTCTTAACTTTAATTAGTATTATGAAAATATTTATAAACACAAAATTCTCCTCCCTTTGACCCGCTCCATGCCCGCTGCTCGTCCATTGTTCAGTCAATAAAAATGTGGACGGCGCCTTGGAATGTCAACGCAACCCAATCGAGGGTATTAACATCAAATCGATCGTGAGTTCATTCATGCCACTGATAAGCCCGCCATGTCGCACCAAAACCATCGAAAGTCATTTAAATATGGAAACATTGTTGATCTACGGCTGAAAACATATGTCGACACCATATTTGGTATTTCATTTGCGCACAGAGAGCGTGTTAAGATTAGCAACATCTACAAATTGATCACGATCAATAACAGCGTTGCCAGACTATGGAAATCCACAGCTAGCTGGCATGATATGTCTTTTATGGATAAACGACTTTGT